GAGTGATTTATTTAGCATTATTTAATAATATAATAATACTCATGTACTGTCAAATTAATTCTGCTTTACACAACTATTTTCAGGGTTTTCCAGGTAGATAATACTCAGAAGTAGTTTACCATTCCCATCTTCTGGCGGCATGTAGCTTGCCCAAGGCCTCACTTGCACAAGGCACAGTGAGGAACTGATCTCCAAACCTCTGGCTCCGCAGCTAGAGACATAACTCAGTGAGCTGTCCAGCCACCTGCTAAACCTGACTTGATGCTAAAGCACATATGCTCCATGAATGAAGGCCTGGAATCAGGACTGGGTCACTAGTTAATGGATTTCAGATGGGAGGAGTGTGACAGAGCTGACAACATTGGTTGATAGGACTACTGATGGGTCTCATTGATTGAGGTCAATGTAACTCAGGCACCTCAGTCAAACAAAGTGAGCTAAAAGCTACCACTGCATCGCACTAGAGGAGATCTATGACTTACAGTAAGGGCTGATTTGTCAGTTACTATTCATTGAACAGCTAGGATCTCTTTTTTTCCTTCCTTTTGTGTGTGTGTGAAAGCGAAGTAATGATCAGGTGTGCAAGCTGGCACTCGTTAATTAGCCAATCATTCTTCATGACTTCATTTGTGCATAAAGAAAAAAACAAATAGGACTGTGGTCAATAGGTCTAATCTAACTGGTAGTAACAAGTGAATTTAGCATATTGGCTTTTTTTAAACCAACTAATATGAAAGAATACTGCTTTGTGTGTTTCCTCCTTACAGAACCATTTCAATAATTTGAAAGGCAGTTCAAATCCTTAAAATGACTGGTCATATTGACAGCAGTTAGTAGTGACGGGAAAGAGATAAGAATCTGTAGACCAATAGATTAGAGAGAAGCAATATGCTACACTGGTATGTATAGTCATAATCACTATTTTACTTAGGTACAGAAACACTTATTTTCTTCCAGTTAAGTGGTTAAAGCAGACAATGAGATCACAAGAATATTCTATTTTCGCTTTTTTGGCCAGAAAAGATTCACCTTTTCCTGACAGCAAATATCACCCTTCCTAAGAAACATCTGTGGGAGATTCCTTCCACAAATGTGGCAGCCCTCAATTTGTTGGCTAGTAATCAAATGCAAACTGAAACATCTGTGCACCAGATGTAGAGAACTACGTATACTACTACTGCCTGACTATATGAAATTTGTGAAGTATGTCAGTTACTTGGGTTTATAGTAGACTCAAGGTACAAATTTCTCCTGGAAAAAAATGTGTATCACTTTTAAGAAGTACTATGGTTTCTTCTTATTGTCTGTTTTTCATATTGCCCTTAATCTTATGTGAACATCTATAAATATGATGGTTTTTGAGATTCAAAAAGCTGTGGAGCATTAATATAATGACAGGGGTTGGTTTCAAATTGTTTCTTCAGACACAGATTTTCATTGGCATTCTGTAAACACACTATAGCGTTTATCTTGAATGTAAAATGTCTCCGATTCAGACTCCGGTGGCATCTCCAAGAAGGGCTGGAGAGATTCCTGTGTAAAAGGCTAAATTCACAATCCCATTTCTTTATGTGTCTGTATGAAGATAATCATTTAAGCAATGCCTCTCTTTTTGAAGGCTCCACGGAGTGCCCGATCTTGCTATATCAGGCATGTGACTCATTGCATGTAGCAGGGTCCACAGGAATGGAAAAACTGGTGCGCAAGTGCCCCACAGTGTACAGATTTCTTCCAACTGGATTTTGGCCTGAAGAACTAATGCCAGCCAGCCAGTAGACTACTGCCAAAAATGTGACTTAGTATAAGACAGCTTCTTCGTATTCTTGTATTAGTTGCAGTTGGTATAAAATGAAAACGTATATTCCCTCCCACTCCAATACAATTATCTTCTGTTTTACACATGTAGTTGGAGAATAGATGCCATATGTAACAAGCATTATGATAATTAATACTTAGTTCTTGTACGATACGTTATCTATTCAGGTTTTAATCTGTGTAGTTAAACTAAACCTGCAACGAGGGGGAAGGCTAAGCTTGCCTCCTACTTCACTCTTGCGACTTCAGACTGTCACGATCCACATGAGAAGAACAAATCTTCACATGAAGAAGCTCTCCTCTTTCCCAACTGTTCTCTCCTCACCAGGAGAGCAATGACAGTGGAGGAAGGAGCTACCTTGCTCCCCTCCTCATGTGTTTCCTTAATTTAGAACATCTGAACAGACCTTCTATCTGTCTGCCTGTCCCTCTGTTTGCTTATCTGTCTGTCTACCTAACTATCTAATTTCTACACTGGCCACCTGTCAACAGCAGGATGCAGTCTTTATCTACAAAGGTTCATGATTATTCTATGCCTTTAATGGATTAAGGTAAAAAGACCTGGCAGCAGTCATTGTCCAAAATTGAAACAATTTAAATATGTCAGCAGAATAAAATGTGTTTATGAGAACTGTGGTGTATGCGTGTGTGTGTGTCTGTCTCTTTGTGTGTTCATGCCATGAGAGACTGTGCCATCCTCCAAGGTCCAAGGATGAGTTTATGTGAGTCCCTGAGTCCCTGAAAGCTGCACATGGATCCATTGCTCCTTCCAACCTGCTCCCATCCTAACCTCAGGCCTCCTATTTTGGATAGTCCCAACAGCAAATTCTCCTCATGAAGTACTCTGTAGCCATTACTGGCCCTTCTGGAACAGATGTACCTTGAAAGAGGAACAAAGCAAAGTTTGGGAATATAATCTTAATTTACAAAGTAAACTTGGGGTAACTTTTATTTAAAAAGTGATTTACTGTTATTCCATGTAACTCACTGGCCAAATGTAATGCATAATATTACTTATTAGTAAAGATCTGCTAATACGTTACAAAGTTGAATTTTTTTTGAAAATAATTTGAAAATTTTCAAAATAATTTGAAAATATCTCCAAAATGGCCAAGAATTCCCCAAATCATTTCTCAAAAAGCAGTTTTTATGTGACAAATAAATGTTATAAATCACTAAAAAAACCCTGTGATGTCAGCATTATTGATGGTAAAAGTATTACTCCCCCTCAAAAGGAACTACAAAGCAGCATTACATTTCAGATGTCACTTCCAAAGTCTCTGAGCAGTACTGAATCATTTTCTATAGATATGAACCTGACATAAGCACTGCCTTTTAAATCAGTAACACAAATACAGGATGCTTTGTTATTCTGTTTTGGTTTATGAATTCTCTCTCTCTTTTTAAATCATTATTCTTTTCCAATTATTCCTACTATTAAGTGTGTCTATATAGAGAACAAAAAAATAGTATCTTCCATTGAAACATCTTTCTGAAAGCATTTATTTAATAAACAAACAAACTGGCATTTGTAGTTTTAAGAAGGCTTTCCCTCTAGCTCCATTGCATCAACAAGAGATGTACTGTATTTATTGGATATCTGTACCAAAGTGACACTTTCAGTACTTTCTAGAACAGGATTGGCAAGTATCTCTCAAATGAAGGCTGACAAAAAACGTATCCAACTGCTTAGAGCATCTTCCCTACATAAACATCCTACATGTTCAGGACTTTTGAGTTATGAAAAATGTTAGTTAAGGAAGGGCTAGAACAGGGGTTCAAAAAGATGTGCATGCTGTGGAGAAAGTCTGAATAAAGTGCATCTCGCTATTCTTTCTCGTAATACTACACAACTATGGTTTTCCCAGTGAAATTGGCAGAGGGTAGACTCTGGAGAAAAGCTTTTTCACACAAAACACAGTGAATTTAGGAAAGTCATTGTAATCACAGGATGGGTTGATGATCAGTAGCTTAGTTATCTTAAAAGTGGATTGGAAGAAATAACACAAGATGGAGGCCATGCACTGTGTACATACTGGGACAGCTAAAGGCAGCCTCTACTTCTGAACTGCAACTGCAAGGAAAGCAGGGTAGGGGTAGTGAAACAAGGTTATTGCCTTTATGCTACAAGTTTCCATTTCTTTTCCAGGGAGGCTTTCCACACTGAGCCCAGCTGACCACTGTCCCCCACTTTTTCTTTCCCCTCCTCTTCTTCCCACCACTCTTTTTCTCTCCATCCGCTCTTGGTTCATGTGATTAGTCAGTGCCATCTGTTTTCTTTCTCTTTTTTATGTTTATTGTTGCTGTTTTTAATATTTCTATTTTTATTATTGTTTTCTATTATATGTGCTGTAACCTGCCCAGAGTAGTGTCGTGACACTAATGGGAGTGGGATACTAAATGAATGAATGAATGAATGAATGAATGAATGAATGAATGAATGAATGAATGAATGAATGAATGAATGAATGAATGAATGAATGAATGTTTGCCTGACCATTCAGAAAACAAGATGCTGGAACAGACAGGCTTTTTGTCTGATCCAGCAGGTAAACTCTTTTATTAAGAAACAAAATGTGGAACGACTCTTAATATCTAGAATTGAAAAGCATAGCCAAGAAAACATATGGTCACTACACTTGAGAAAGTATATTGTAGAGTAGAAAAGGCACAGAAGATAGGAACCAAGATACTAAGGAAACAGGAACAATTCTTTTATAGATGACAACATTTGAGGCTGCTTAGTTTGCGGGGGGGGGGCAAAAGAGAGAAATGGTAGACGTACATAATCGTATGGATGGTCTGCAGGAAGTTGCACTCGAACCTGGGATAACCTACTGAAGCTGAATATTGGGATGTTCAGGACAGATTAAAAGAAGTATTTCTTCACACTGCTTATTATTAAACTGTGGAAGTCACTGCCACAATATATAATGATGTCTGCCAAGTTAGACTGCTTTAAGAGAATTAAATAAATTTCCTATGGTGAAGGCTGTCAATGGAATTTCTCAGGATAGCTATACATCACTTCCAGTATCAGAAGCAGCGTGACTTCATATATTAGTTGCTGGAATGAAAGGAAAGGTGTGCTACACTAATGTCTTTTTTCTAGGATTCCCAAGGGCAGCCTGTTGTGATAAAGTCTCCGTGCACAAAATGCCAATGAAAATAGAAGCAACATTCACCTTGTTGTATGTCTTTCATCTCCAAGTGTAAACTGGATATCAAAATTCCCACAGCTTGCGATCTCTTTCCATCCAACAATTTGATAATCTGGAAATAAAAAATAACTGCTCAGTTTTAAATGTCCTTATAAATGTGAAAAGCAAAGCAAAACTGAGAATTTCAGCCACCCCAAATTCCTATGAAGAAGGCTGCAATGTAAATCAAATAAACAACCATAATATTTGTGAATTAATTAAATTGAGTTACATTATCACATCTGCCCTTTTTGAAATATTTCACCATTTATAAAAGAAATTATATAGACTAGAAATGTGGAGAAGATTGACAAAAATCTATATTCTCATGATTTTGGGCTTTTCACCATGTTGAGAACCACAAACGACTATTCTATCCTATTAATGTAATTCCTCAGAACCACCATGGCAGCAAGCCATGAATAACTGTGAAATCATTTATTTGCAAAATAGCTAATTTTGCACAAAACTGATTATTTTTTAAAAACAATATAGCCAATTTTGGCTATTTGTCAATGTCAGGCGTCTTGTAGGACCAATAAGAACTTATCAGAGTTCATGCCACTGAGAAGTGGAATTCTGGTGTGCCTTTTCTTCACCTACAAAACAGAATTATTGTAAGTTTATACCAGTGATTCCCAACTTTGGGTCCTCTGATGTTCCTGGACTACAACTCCGAGAAATCCTGGCTAGCACAGCCAGTGGTGAAGGCTTCTGGGAGTTTTAGTCCAAGAATATATCAGGACTCAAGGTTGGTAATCACTGGTGTAGACTATCCTGGAGATAATAGGCCCCCTTAGTTAGGTGACAATATAAAAATCCATATCAAGATGAGAGAAAGAAAAAAAATCCTCTGCACTGTTCTATGAACTGAATGTATGCACAAGGACTTTACAGCCAGGTGAATGAAGCCATACAGTTTAACATGATGTTTCTGTAACATAACAGCATTTGATATGAAAATCCAGCAAGTAAGCATTAAATAGAATAATTTTCAAGATAATTTTATGGCACATCAACTCTCAAAACACAAAAATATCATCAAATGAACACGATCCACTCAAGGAAATGTAGTTGTGCCTCACACTAAATTTATTAGGGAAGAGTTTTAGTCATACTTTATTTTCCCCACTAAAATCAATACTATTTAGATCTGTTTAACTCTAATTGCAATGTTCTCAATTCTAATTTTAATTTTAAGAATACAAGCTAACTGAGCATAATGAGAGTAATTTATAGACTTTTTTGTGCTTAAATTCTTAGAAGAAAAGTTATCAGGAACCAAATTCTAGTTAAATGGTGAGTTTATTGTAGACATTTCTCATGTTATACATGTTATTTGATGAACTTGCCAGCATTAACATCTAATAGGGGTAATTATAGGCTTAAGTAGAGTGCAATTTGTATAGCATTCACTGACCTGTAGACTGACCCTTTTCAGAGTAAAATTCATAGGCTGTCATAAACCCCATTAGACATGCCTAGTTTGAGGTAAAATCGTTCCAGACGATACCTCATACAGCCAATATGACATCTGAAACTACTACACTGAGATGCCTCTGCAAATTGTCGGTATCCAAGATATGATCAGACTTAGCTCGCACAACCTTCCCTCTCTAGTATCTTATTTTGAACTGCAAATGCCTTTAATATGACATAATATAAAAATAATAGAGGTTCAGTTCAGAGCAAAGTAAGTTTTATATTCATAGTCCTTTATGGGAAGAAATACATATGGTCAGAATTCTGAAATTAGGTAGCACAGGCTACCTGGAATAACTGGACCAAAATGATGAAACGTTTTATTAGTCTGGTATTTTTCACACTGGATACCAGGAAAGCTGTTACCAACAATTTTTATATATATATAAATTGTATTTTAATTGTTATGAATTTTTATTGTATTTTAAATGTTGTAAGCCGCCCAGAGACCTTTGGGTAGTGTGGGCGGCATATAAAACAAACAAACAAACAAACAAACAAACAAACAAACAAACAAACAAACAAACAAACAAACAATAGAAATAACTTAAGTCAGGTTATTTGCCACCAACAAAGAATTATAATGCACACAAAGGTATTAATTACCTTAAACTCTCTCAAGTTTTTCCCTTTCAAGCTAGCACTTGAAATGCAAACTGTTTGCTTGAGATGTAGATATATGTGGAAGCTTAAATTCTAATGCTAGTAACACCCATAAGAATTAATTAATAAACTATGGATGCAGTGGCTTTCCAGATGTTGCTGTGCTCTAGTTCCTATTGGAGCAATGGCAACAATTTATAGACTCTAGATTATAGAAGGCTATACAGTGGGGTCTCTACTCAAGAACGTCCCTACTTAAGAACAATCCAACTTAAGAACAGCTCCATTTGCTAAATTTTGCTTCTACTTGAGAACAGAAATCCAAGATAAGAACAGGAAAAAAAAACTTTCCTGCTCTTTTTTTAACCTTAGGTCATCTTAGGTTAAAAAAAATTCTCCCCCTAGTGGTAGAGTACGTATTAACCAGCTTTGCATTAGTTCCTATGGGAACTAATGCTTCAATGTACGAACGCACCTCTACATAACAAAAAAACAGCCAGAACGGATTAATTGGTTTTCAGTCCATTCCTATGGGAAATTTTGCTTCAACTTAAGAACGTTTCAACTTAAGAACACCATTCCAAAACGGATTTATTTATTTATTTATTTATTTATTTATTTATTTATTTATTTATTTATTTAACTAACTAACTAACTAACTAACTAACTAACTAACTAACTAACTAACTAACTAACTAACTAACTAACTTATATGCTGCCCACACTACTCAAAGGTCTCTGGGCAGCTTACAACAGATTAAATACATTAAAAGAGATAAAACAATTAAAATGCCATTAAAATATATACCCTAAACCAATGGTTCTTAACCTTTGTTACTTGGATGCTTTTGAACTGCAACTCCCAGAAACCCCAGTCAGGACAGCTGGTGGTGAAGGCTTCTGGGAGTTGCAGTCCAAAACTCCTGAGTAACCCAAGGTTAAGAACCAGTGCCCTAAACTATTTACCTAATACTGTACTTAATGTAGGAACACAAATGCCTAATAATCAACATAGAAAAGGAAAATAATTTAATAAGTTTTGAGAGACTTGTGATAGATAAAGCTTCTTAGATAATGTTTTGTTTTCAATGGGTGGTGTCAAGAGCAAGAAAATATGGTAAAAGTCTGTTGAAAATCATGGTCCCAAGGGACTATTTGCCTCATTACTTATTTCAAGAAAATAAGGCTTTAGGGCAAAAAGGAAGAAAGATTATTTTTGGCAGGAAATCACTGAAGGTCCTAAATCTAGATCATGAGCTTGTTCCAGATCAGAGCCCAATAATCACTTTGAATTCAAATACATTAGACCAGTTTAAGAAAAGTTTCTTTTAGAAGCATGTTTACTATCCTGTAGCTCATCAGCTTGATTCCAGATCTGGTACTCTTAAACCTAACTGGTTTCAACTGGAATATTATTTAATTACGGTATTAGTATATAAAATCCTATTGAGACTTAATTATCTGAGAGACTCTTATCTGATCTTTGAAGTCATCTGAAGAAGCCTTCTAGGTAGTGTCATGTGTTCTTGAGGTGTGCTCCACAGTCAATCGGAGCCAGTCATTTAGCATGATGAGGGGCAACCCACTACGTGGAACAGCCATCCCTCTGATATCAGATATGTACCAGCTGTTATGTTATAGTATATGGATAATGTGACTGGCAATCTCCCTTTTATATATTATTCCATATTTTATGCTTGCTTTTCACAATACAGAGTTTGGAAATCTTCCAATATAAGTGGTTTATTGATCGAGAAATGAGTAATACACTCCCTTCCATTACTACTGATGAAGAAGTAACAAACACACCCTCTTTTACAACTCTTAATTTTGGCAATACTGTATAGCCTTATGTCTTAAAATTCATTCTGAAAACAGCACATCAATACTCAAGATGGTTATAATCATGAAATCAGAGCTTGTGACTGCTGAGCAGAACACAGTAAACCAACCATTTATTATAGTTGGATTTCATCTTGTGGCATGAAGGCAAGAACAGGAAAAAGAGTGGAACTGTCAAACATTTTGCAAGGTTGGTAGGCTATAGTTAGCACTGTGAGTCACAAGTTGAGAAATTATTCAGATTTGCTGAGACAGATTGTTCCGTTTGGGTAAGGAACATTGTTCTCTTTGGTGGCAAGGAATTTCTTGGTCCTCTTGAACACATTCTTGCATTGGTGAGAATTACGTTGAGTGGAAATGCCTTTTATGCACAAAATGGCTCATTTGTTGAGGAAAACATCATTTGCCAAAGACCAGGATGGCAGCTGCTTTACCTAAAATTTGAATCACTAGATGAACAGTTTGCATCTTTATTAATAATCAGCCAGTCATGTGCTTGCTGCACATGGGTGGGTGGGAGTGGGATTAGTTTCTTAAAGGGAAAATGAACTAGAGACAATGTATACAAATTATAGAGCCACTGGGAGGATAAGATAGAATAACTTTATTACAGTCAAGGACCAGCAAGACTAGAACAATATAAAATAAATACATACAATTGCAATTTAATAAAACTAAGCAGAATTGTACATTCTTCCATTAAAAACCTGATAAATCAACCCCTTCTTTCAGACCAAAATCATAATCTGCTAAACTGACTCTATATCTTTAAAATAAGCGCAATGTCGGCCAGTGTTACGTTATAAAAACATTATATTGTCCGTCTTAGATCGCAACCCAAACATCTGGTCACAAATAACTATTGCTGCAGCGCAGAATTTGGCCACTTGTCTTTTGACATAAGAGGTTTTGTCAGAGAGAAGCAATTTTACATAATATTCCTCTGATTTCCCAGGAGATTTACAGAGAATAGGAAGTAAAAGCTCCATATGTAAATCCTGACAGGAAGTACAATGTAAGAGAAAATGCCCAACTGTTTCGACTTTGGCACTATTACAAGGGCAGAGACAATCTGATGGAGGCAAACCTCGGAATCTTCCCTCCAGAAGCTTAGAAGGTAATACATTAAGTCTAGCTAGTGTAAAA